TAACGTTGACGACCAATTCAAACGATTAAAGGACTATGATTTACGGATATACACTTGGAATGTCCGGACCCTCTATAGGGAAGGTGCCTCCATCCAACTGGCGGAAGTCCTAAATAAATGTAAGGCTGACGTCACCGCTATCCAGGAAATGCGATGGACAAAAAGACGTGAATTTAGATGCGGTTTTGTGGTAAGTAAGAGACTATCAAAATTAGTCTACCGATTCACACCGGTGAACGAAAGGCTTGCCACACTCCGTGTCAAGGCAAAATTTTTTAACATCACGTTAATCTGCGCTCACGCGCTGACAGAAGAAAAGGACGACTTGACCAAAGATACCTTCCACGCGAGACTCGAGGAAATTTATGACAGCAGTCCCGCCCACGACGTTAAAATTGTTCTCGGGGATTTTAATGCAAAGGTCGGAAGAGAAGAAGTCTTTGGTCCAACTGTCGGAAAATTTAGCCTCCATGAATCAACCTCCAACAACGGTCTAAGGCTAATTAATTTCGCTGCGGCGCGAAATATGGTAGTATGTAGCACCAGATTCCCACACCGTGATATTCACATGGCAACGTGGCTATCTCCCGATCAAGCAACACGAAACCAGATTGATCACTTCATGATTGACGCAAGGCACGCTTCTAGTGTGCTGGACGTACGTTCATTCCGTGGTCCAAACATCGATTCAGATCACTACCTTGTCGCTCAGCTCTCTGGCCGATTAAACAACCAACCCTCCCGATAATGCCGTGGGGACAGTGGGGACATATCTCTCACTCCCTACGCACAACAGCGGAAGATGTCCTTGGTTTCCAACGTCCCCCACGGCGAAACCAATGGTACGACGAAGAGTGTCGCCAAGCTACTGCTGCGAAGAACGCGGCCTATAAAAGGACCCTGCAGTCAGCAGCAACGCGAACCGTGCATGAACAATATCGGGAGATGAGGAAGGTAGAGAGGTGCCTATTCAGACGGAAGAAACGAGATCAAGAAAGGCGCGAGCGAGAGGAAATCGAGGTGTGTAGAAATAGGAATGATGCCCGTAAATTTTATCAAAAAGTCAACCGTCTGACTCAAGGCTTTAAGCCTGGTGCATCAACCTGTAAGGACGAAAATGGTAATCTGGTTACAGATACGCAGAATGTACTGAAAGTATGGAAGGAGCATTTCTCCAAACTACTATCTGGCGATGATAACATCAACTCTGCCATTGAAGAAATGCCCTCTGTATCCCCAATCGAAAATGATGACATTTAAATTCCCCCCCCGAGCCATAACGAAGTGCGTGTTGCTATACAGCGACTTAACAACAAAGCGGCAGGCGCAGATGGCCTGCCTGCTGAATTGTTCAAGGCCGGCGGCGATATGCTGATAGGGTGCATGCATCAGCTTATCTGCAGAATGTGGTTAGATGAAAGTATGCCCAGCGATTGGAATCTCAGCACCCTTTGTCCTGTCTTGAAAAAACGTTACTCGACGATTTGCGCCAACTATCGCGGGCTTAGCCTAATACCTGTCGCGTACAAAGTTCTTTCAAGTGTACTGTGTGAAAGGTTGAAGCCACATGCCAACTCACTGATTAGACCTTATCAGTGCGGCTTTCGACCTGGTCACTCCACCATTGATCAGATATTCACACTGCGACAAATCCTGGAAAAAGCCCACGAACATAACATCGACACTCATCACCTTTTTGTCGATTATAAAGTAGCTTTCGATAGCTCCATTAGGGATCGCGTTTACGCCACAATGTCTGAGCTCGGTATCCCTGCAAAATTAATTTGATTTTGCAGAATGACGCTGAGTAATACCCGTAGCTCCGTCAAGATAGGATCGAGTCTCTCTGAACCTTTTGATACCGAGCGAGGCTTTAGACAAGGTGATCCCTTATCATGTGACCTCTTCAATTTCGTCATGGAAGTGATCATGTGCAGGGCAGGTGTTCATCGTAATGGAACAATATTCTACAAATGTGTCCATCTCCTTGCTTACGCCGACGACATTGACATCATTTGGCGTAGCAAGCGTGATGTTACAGCTGCTTTTGCTGCTATCGAAAAGGAATCTGCAAGAATGGGTTTAGCGGTGAATGAGGGAAAAACGAAGTATATGTCGGCTACTGGTAGAAATGTGCGTCGCTCGGACACCGGGCTAGTGGCTGGCGACTATACTTTCGAATCTGTCAAGAATTTCATCTACCTTGGCACCGTCTCAACGAATAATAATGACGTTTTTCTGAAGATCAGACGAAGAATCACCATTGCTAATAGGTGCTACTATGGGCTCAGTAGGCAATTGGGATGTAGAGCTCTCTCTCGACAAACGAAACTTGCGCTCTATAGGTCGTTCATCCTCCCTGTGCTTCTGTATGGCGCAGAAGCATGGACGTTATCACAGAATGATGAAGCAGCACTGGGAGTGTTCGAGAGAAAACACTCTTCTTCGTAAGATCTTTGGTCCTCTACGAGTTGGCGAAGACTACCGCATTAGAATGAACCACGAGCTGTACGAGCTTTATCACGACATTGATATAATTCAGCGCATTAACATCCAGCGGCTTCGCTGGCTTGGTCATGTCGTGAGAATAGATGAAGACGCTCCGGCGAAAAAGGTGTTTGAAGCAGTAGTTGGCGGAAGAAGACGTAGCGGTAGACCGTGTCTCCGATGGAGTGAACAAGTTGAGGGAGCACTAACTGGACTTGATATACGAGACTGGAGAAGGTACGCACGCAGCAGAGGCGCCTGGGGAGACATGCTGCGTCAGGCCGAAACTCGGTAACGAGTTGTTATAGCCACATAAGTAAGTCAGTAAGATATGAGATATTCACGGAATTGTTTACGCTGCAAAGTTTGTGAAATTCTATAAATCCATTCACCAAATCTGGTGCGCGTTTTATTGAAATATTTCGTCTTTCGAAATATTTATGTAAGCTTCTAATGGCGGAAATAACTCCGTACATGGTATCGAGAAGTCCCTCAGATCAAGTACATACGCATACTAGTTGATATTCAATAAAAATGAATTCATTGCTTCAATTTAAATGATGTTATCAGCGTTCTGTGGACTAAAGCTCTTTACTAAATGTTTCTCAGGCTGTCTGCATATAATTCTTTGTGTTCAAAACTCCAACTTCTGGAGCTTTATCACTGACACGGTCTCATAACCATATCATAGGTACAAAGTCATGCCCTGAGTAATTTGTTCAATGACAATACCTGTACAACAGTGGTCGTTAGCCACTGGAAATTGGCACCGTAGATATACTTAGCCCTACAACTTTCTAAAAAAATTATGGCATAACTCACCCACATACAATAACTTGACTCAATTAATGTGAATATTGTTGTGTATAGCGCAACTATGAAAATGTAAACAAAAACAAATAATAAATTATGTCATGTATTTTTGAAAGTGCTTATGCACAAATTATTTTATATTAACTAATGTAATGCGATCGCACACGGAAGAACCACCGCAATGCAAGTAGAATATTTGGTCATAGCAAGTATGCAATTGCTATTTGACACTTTTCTTTTCTGTGCTACTATTCTGCACTTGTCGATATGACACACTTGAATGTGTCATAATATTTTCTAAGCATTGACGTGGGTCAACCTTTTTAGTGCCGCCGCAATTAAAATTATTAGGAAAATATTTGTAAATTATTGTAAAACATTTTTGTATAAATAGTTTGGAAAATTGTTAATAAAATTCAGATTTTAAACTGAGCTCGAACAGCTTAAACAAAAGTCTCAAAACTTATTTTGTCTCGGCATTCTTGGATGCCTAATAATGAGCAGATTTCTTCCTGCTAATCCTAATGAGAAGAAACTAATAAATTCGAAAATAAAAATCTTACAAAAATAAAATAAAAATAAAAATAATATATTTTGTATATGAAAACAAAATTTATTATTACATGGCGATCCTGACCACTCGAATCTGATCGAAGTCAAGCCAAAAGAAAAAAAAAAAGGGAAGTTCTAGGATCTAAATTCTCTCAAAAAAATTATTATATTATATTTTCTCCCAAAACAACATACGTCAATTTTGTATGTCTTTACTTGAGGAATCTAAAAATATTTCCCAAGTTTGGGAAAAATTTCTGAATGTATTTGATGACGTTGAAGAGTACATCCCTCAATGTATAAATGGTCTTCCAATAGAAGCACCAAAATACATACCGGTGGACAAGACAGCTGAACCTAAACCATTAACAATCAAGCAGTATAAAGCGAGGCAGCAGAAGCCACAAGCAACACCAGTACCGAAGACACCAATAAAACCAAAAAGAAAAAGGGGCGGAAAGCAATACAATAAAAGAAAACAAATAGCAGTCCTATATAGAGAATTGAATCTTGCCACATCGTCAGAAGACCAACTGTCAATAAAAAGAAAAATAAGAGAGACAAGGAATGGGCAGTCAACCCACCAAGGAAGAGGTGATAAACAACACCAACAACAACAACAATAACAACAGTAATAACAGCAGCAACGAGTTAGCTGATTCTAAAACAATTTTGTATTTTATATGTATTTTATTGTTGTATTTAGTACTATCCAAAGTAAACAATCATTATAAAAAATATGTCAAAAGACATGTTATTTTAAGCAATAACATGGTTTAAATTTGCTTAATAAAAAAAAAAAAATATATATATGTTTTTAAAAAAAAAATTTTTTTTTATAAATATGAATAACTTTAATTGTTTTGTTTGTGGTAAAAGTTACCAAACAAGTAGAAGATTAAGCAGACATTTAGATAGAAAACACATTAAATTAATTAATTATGTAAATCGATTAATTAAAAATCTTTAAAAAAAAAAATATATAATAAGTAATTTTATTTAATGTACACTAAAACATATATAACAATTTCAACCAAAATGGTAATAAATCTAATTATATTTTATTCACTAATAAGACTAGAAGGTCATAAACATAAGAGAATGTACTTCAAAAATTTTTACTTTATGAACTATAAATAAAAATATATATGGAATTCACTGAAGCTAAACAAATATTAGAAAAGCTTAAGAAAAACCCCAATAGGTTATATTCTAGGGAATTTATAGAGAAAACAAAGGAAGAATTAGAAAATATCTGGTTAAAATATTTACCTCTAATAAAAGAATCTGATTTAGAAACTTATAAAAAAGCATTTAGTAATCTAAAAAATAATATTGAAAAATATCTCAAACAAAAAGCAGACATGGCTAGTTTTGATATTTCGACAGCTTCAAAAATAATACCCCAATTCAGTGGTGAACAACAATCACTATCTACTTTTCTTGGCATGATAGAATTTTATCATGACACCCTTAAAGAAGGAGTCGATAGAGAATCCTTGATTAAATTTGTCCTAGCAACCCGAATAACTGAGAAAGTTAAAAACAGAATTTTAACTGTTGTAAACCCATCCACACTTATAGCGTTGAAACAAATATTACATGACGCATATAAACCAAAGAAAAATACAGCACATATTCAAGGTGAACTTTCAAGATTATACCAAGGTAATATGAGCATAAACTCATATGCTTCCAAAATAGAATCCCTGATAGCAACTCTAAATGATATTCAGATAACTGAACGAGGAGAACAGAACAGAGCACTTATATTATCCATAAATGATGAAACTGGATTGAACACTTTTAAAAATGGCTTATCAGAACCATTTAGATCCGTGGTAATTGCAGCGCAACCAACAAAATTAATTGACGCAGTTAAATTAGCATCAAGCATCGATAATCCACAACAACACAGTATGATGCACTACCGTTCACATAATCAAAACACAAGATGGCAAAATAATCAACGGTCTAACCAGAATAGAAACAATTATAGAAGCAACCAGAACAGGAATCAAAGAAATGGAAATAATCAACAAACCAGTTCATTTAGAACTAGTCAACCCCAAAATAACAATCACCAACAATTTGGACAACAACGATCGAATAATTATCAGCGATCGAATAATTACCAACGATTTAATAACCACCAATGGTCAAATAATGGCAGACAACAGAATAATAGAGGAACAGACACAAGAAATAATAGGATACGTGTCATGAACAGGGAACAGGGAAACGAGTACAACCCCGGTACCAACAGAGAAACTACAGAATAGGCTACGCGGGGACAACAACAATAAATGAGAATGGAGAATCAATACCCAATTATATTATACTACAGACTTTAAATAAAAAATTAAAATTCTTGTTAGATACTGGCGCAGATGTGTCAATATGTAAAAAACATTGTACAAATGACGAAGACATTGCAGGCGAACAATTATGTAAACTCACTGGAATAACTGACAGTCCAATTACAACATTAGGTACTACAAATTTAAATTTTAAAATAGTGAACGATTGCTTAAAGCATAAATTTCAAGTAGTAGGTGACGAATTTCCAATTCCTACTGATGGCATTCTAGGACGTGACTTTTTCAATAAATATTTTTCAAAAATTGATTACGAAACTTACACGTTCTCAATAAACACAAACGAAACTGAATACATTTTACCAATATCACACAAGAACCCTTCGTCAAAATTAACAAGAAAAAGAGTATATTTAATGGATTATGATTTTAACATAATTTTTAAACAAGGAAAAATGAATACAAATACTGATGCATTATCCAGAATCAGAATGGATTCGGATACACTTAAAGAAATGATTCCGAAAAATATTAATATTGTGACCAGAAGTAAAATGAAAATGAATAATGAAGAAAACGTAATCAAGCAGAATCATGGTACAAATTACACAGAGAATGATCAACTCTACATGTGGAATTGTATTTCGATTTCTGATATTAGAAGATTACCTATATTAAAATTTGAGCTCGATAAAGAAAAGAATAAGAAAAGTTTGCCAATTATAAAAATTGAGAAAAACATTGTTAAAGTACAGTGTAGCAATAAGCCCAACTTGATTTTAGAATCAGTCCTGGATACGCTCACAAAAGTATTGAACAAAAATAATCTCAATAAAGTAGCATTATCTACTAAAGATATAGTATTCGAATACATTGATGAAAAAGAATTAATGAAAATATTTAATAGCATGCAAAAAGAAATAAAGAATAAAGGTCAGCAAACACCTATACGTATATTATTATATAATCCACCAAGGAATGTCGTGGATAAATCGGAACAAATTGAATTAATAAAGAATTACCATACAAGTATTCACGGAGGTCACACCGGAATAAGAAGAACTATAGCTAAATTAAAACAGAAATACGTATGGAAAGGAATGAATAAAATGATAAAAGATTATATTTTAAAATGTGCATCATGTAATAAGAATAAAATAATAAGACATCATAAAGAAAAATTTGTCATAACTAACACTCCAACTTCACCGTTTGAAGTAATACAGATGGATACTGTAGGTCCACTAAGAATATCTAATGGGTACAGATACATTCTCACTATACAATGCGAACTAACTAAATATGTAGTCGCATTTCCTATACAGACAAAAGAAGCTCAAGAGATAGCAAAAGTCATGGTAGAAAAATTTATATTTAGATATGGTAATGTTAAGAAAATAAAAACAGATCGAGGTACAAAATTCCTCAATGAATTAATAAATGATATATGTAAGTTATTAGGTATAGAACATTTAAAATCCACTGCTTATCATCACGAAACATTAGGTTCTATAGAAAGAAACCATAGAGTATTAAACGAATATATGTTATCTTTTACAAACAATTTTGATTGGGATACTTGGATCCCATACTACACATTTTCATATAATATTACACTTCATTGTGTAACATATTATTCACCTTTCGAATTAGTATATGGTAGAGTCGCGAATCTTCCAAACGAAATAATAGAAGGTAGAAAATTTTATAATTATGATTCTTACGTTACTGAGTTAAAAACAAAACTACAGTATGCGCATAAAGCAGTAAATGAGATATTAATAAAAGAAAAATTATCTCAAAAAATTAAACAAGATGCTAATGCATCAGAAAATTTATTTAATGTAGGAGATTTAGTTTATTTAAGAGTAGAAAATAGAAGGAAACATGAGAATCCATATCATGGTCCATATAAGATAGTTGATAGAAATGGTGTAAATTCCACTATAGAAATTAATGATAAAATAAAGATAGTTCATAATAATAGATTAAAGAAAAATTTACAAACAATATAAATATTATAAGAAAATAAAAATTATTTTTATTACATTTATTTGTACAATTATTTTTAAGAAATAAAAATTGTCAATGTCAAGTTTTCAAAATTCAAATTATCATAAAAATTTTCTTTATTGTATAAATAAAATTTTTTTTTAAAAGGGTAGAGGTGTTGTGTATAGCAACAATATAAATGTAAACAAAAACAAATAATAAATTATGTCATGTATTTTTGAAAGTGCTTATGCACAAATTATTTTATATTAACTAATGTAATGCGATCGCACACGGAAGAACCACCGCAATGCAAGTAGAATATTTGGTCATAGCAAGTATGCAATTGCTATTTGACACTTTTCTTTTCTGTGCTACTATTCTGCACTTGTCGATATGACACACTTGAATGTGTCATAATATTTTCTAAGCATTGACGTGGGTCAACCTTTTTAGTGCCGCCGCAATTAAAATTATTAGGAAAATATTTGTAAATTATTGTAAAACATTTTTGTATAAATAGTTTGGAAAATTGTTAATAAAATTCAGATTTTAACTGAGCTCAAACAGCTTAAACAAAGTCTCAAAACTTATTTTGTCTCGGCATTCTCAGATGCCTAATAATGAGCAGATTTCTTCCTGCTAATCCTAATGAGAAGAAACTAATAAATTCGAAAATATTATAAAGATAAAATAAAAATAAAAATAATATATTTTGTATATGAAAACAAAATTTATTATTACAATATAAATAAAAAACTAAAGTAACTAAAACTAAATTACTTAATAAATAACTATATAAATAAATAAATCAACAATTGAAAACTAAATATATAATTAAATAAATAAATAAATAATTAAATTAGGTACCCATCGTCCGCATCTATCTGTGTCAGGGAAAACATGGTATGTGAAGTTAAAGAAAATATCAACAGATATTTGAAAACAATGTTATGTCCTCAATAAAAACAAGAGCACATTTCCACAACACATTTGAAGTATTACACGTAATGCGTTAACCAAATTATTTTATATTGCTGGTTTTTATATGACTGTAATTTTACAATAGAGTTTTTTAATTTACAATTTTTCAATATACTTTCACTAAAAGAAATATGCACACTACAATTTAAAAATTAACTGTCACGATGTCATTTTACCATATATGTTTGTATGAATGTTCCAATAATGTTCCAATAAAACAAGTTTTGGTTCTTCAGAACGACTTGGCATCACTGCCTAAACTAATAAACATATGAGAAGTAAAAAAATTCAAATAAATTTGAGGCTGAATTTCATAAAAAAGTTTTTTATATAAATATACATATTATATAGGCAATTCAAGATAGTGAATAAATTCGTTTATATAATTTTCAAACTTCTAACATCACTAGTTACTGCTGGACTCCAGGGAATTAGGCGGGTATTTACATACATCTGCTCAGGTCCTGCTAAGTTGACCAGCCTTCAGGAAGTGTGAATATCTATCAGGTCAACTGTGATGTGATATATACGGTCACGTTTCTGCTTATCGCTTAACGCAGATAGTCGGGCAGAGGTGAAGGAAAAAACCCTTTTAGTGAATGATTAGAGAGAATGATTCAATGAATATGTGAGTGAGTTGAATGTATGTATTAGATATAAAAAGTCCAAACTAAGGTAGAACAGTTACAGCTTTAGTTTGGCTTCTAAGGCAGAAGTAGTCTTAGTAACGAACTCAGGATACCTGGTCACCTCCTGTTTTAAGCAGCCTTATATGTGCAATACAAAACATTCCGCGGGAGGACATATTTCTTTTCGCAACTCCTGGGAACAAAGTTGATAAAATTTTAACAAACCCTAAACAAGGTGAAGTGGTTAACGCTAATAAGGTGAACAATGTGGCCTTATAGGCTGAGCTGATAACCTTAGCTTCAGACACCACAAAGCATTACAGTCATTTGACCAATGAAATGGTCCCGCAAAAGGTTGAGCCGTTAACTACAACAGTTGGAAATATGACAATGACTGATCTGGACTTCGCCGAGCGTATCCGTCTGAATAAGAGAAAGAAACAGAAGCGAAGAAGAAAAAGGCGAAAGGATGGAAAAGCCACCAGATCAGTTGAACAACTAGCCGATCGACTAAGCGAACTACCGCACGTGGAGGATGAATAGCATAAGGGTGGTTGCCTTGAAGGTCCGATATTTCTGATGGTGTACAACCAGTAAAGGATGTTAGACAAACTGAATCCACAATCAAAGACCCAACCAGAACGAGAGGTGGAGTATCTATTCAGGCACTCAACTGACGCGCATTGGTTGGCAAAAGGACTGTTGGTCGGCGTGGTGGACAACTTTTAATGGCTGATAACCAAAGGAAAACGCAAAACGGGCCTAGGGTTAAGAAAGGCGGACAACCCATAAAGGATGTCAATCAATCAAAACCTACATGTCAGAAGATTGGAGTCAAATAGGTGGAGAAGCAGCAATGGCTACTATTAAAATGGGGCCTCTAACTAGGATGGCGAATCAACTGCCTAGGATCAGCAAGAGCAGCAGCAAAAAAGCAAAATCCTGGCAAGCGAGCAGCAGGAAACACAAACGATGGCTCAATATGGGTATCACCGATTCAAGAATCGAGAGGCCTCTTGCTTTCAAAGTATCTTTGTTGAACGTCGTTATGTCCCTAGTTGTCGGAATAGGTGACTTAGGGTATGTTGAAAACGCTCGCCTTAAGGAGGGTCACATTACCATTAAGTGTAAAAACCAGCAATCCAAGGCATGGCTAATCAGCGCGGTAACTAATCTGGAAGGTCTTTGGCCGGAAACTAAACTGACGGCTGACACTCTAACAGCGTTGCGCAGCGAAAAAAGAATATTCATTTTTGTCTACGACTTTACCGTAGGCAAGGAAAGTATTCTGAGCGGACTGCACAAGCAAAACAACTGTGTTAAAAACAGTTCGAAATGAAGGGTTACTAACTACAAGCAATGCTAGCGTCAGCTCACAGTGTGATTCCCTAAAGAAGACGCTGAGGCGATCACGATAACAGGGGGCAGGCTCAGCTGTATTCTAGATAAAGCCAAAGTGAAGTTCTAAATGGAAGCACAGTGAGCAGGACAACGTCTCTGGTATGGGGCTAATGGGTCTGTCTAGACCGTTAGGACGGTGGGTGGGTCCAAAACGCAGTAAAATGACTCTCTATATCAGCTATCACGCTGTCTTTTCAAAGACAGCTGGAAAAAAAGGGACATACATAATATTGAGGAAAGGGATACATTGCATCCAATTGCCTCATCTGTGCTCATCAGAGCTTAAGGTGGCTTCGAAAATTGACAAAACGGTTAGAAATAGTCGTGGGATGCGATGCGAACGCACATAACATTGTGTGGGATAGCAGCGATAGTAACAACAAAGGAGAATTTCTACTCGAGTTTGTTGAAAAATACAGTCTGATGGTTGTAAACAGGGAGTGAATGCACAGAGGTCAGAAGTTAAAGACATAACCCTGTGCTCAGGCGCAATGACGTAGAATATTAAGAAATTGAGATTGCTGACACACTAACGGATCATCAGGCCATTCACTTTAAAATACACTATCGTCCAAAGCGCATTAGTAGGCATAGGCTTGTAAGGATTCCTGAGAATACGGATCATGTACCATACATAATGTTGTTAAAGGAATTATTACAAAGCAAACCGCTGAGAAAACTCAAGAATGCATGGAATGTAGAGTCGGAAGTCAAGGCGATTACTGCTGCTATGTCTAAAGCATTCGAAGACACTTATTCGGTATTGCTGAAAAATCTTCGACACCCTGGTGGAGTCAGGATCTTGATGCAAAAAAAGGAGATAAGGAAAGTGTTTAACAAATACATGAGGAAAAACAAGAAATCTAAACAAGGCTAAAAAGCGCGAATTTAAGTAGAAACTAAGCAACCGAAAACGGGAGTTGTGGCGGGATTTGTGTTCGAACATAAAGGGGAGTTCTGAAGTAAGTCGCTCACCAAAGACTCCATCTCAAGATTTGGTTTAATCCGAAAGAAGGATGGTACCATGATGGAGACTGTAGGAGAGTCATTAAGTACTCTCTTGCAAACGGTGTTTTCAAGAAATTTCAGATATGATGATTTCTGGCCTTCTCTAAAAAAGGGAATAAACAGTGAGGACAGATTTAAAACAGAAAAGATAGTGACCGCAAATGCAGTAAGGAATGCCATCTTGACATTCGCTTCATATAAATCACTGGGATTAAATGGCACAGAAGTTGGTGGTGAATTGACTTGCTCGCAGATATGCTTACGGAGATATTTAGGACATTACTATCAACAGGATACGTCCTTAAAGTTTGGAGAGAATTGAGGGTGCCTTTTCTACCCAAAACCAGGAAAGAAGGATTACACAGAAGCAAAGTCATTCAGATCAGTCAGCCTTACCTCGTTCATGATTAAACCTATGGAAAAGGTAATAGTGAACTATCTACCGTAAAAATTAAATTTTAAAATAAAAATAAATATACATAGATACATAGTGGACTATCTAGAACAACGCTACTAAAGTGTCCTTTAAGCAGATATCAACACGACTATATGCCGGGTAGATCCGCAGAGTCTGCCCTTCATGAGGTCATGAAGGCAATTGAAAGAGAGCACACTTCAGGAGGCATATCGATGACGAATCTTTGATAAGATAAACTCTGCTCTAGCTGACCGAGAAGTCAATTCACTCATTAGTGGATGGATTGATTACATGCTAGGGCAAAGAGCGATAAACCTACAAAATGGAAGCCATAGACTGAGAGGCAGAGCACTTCGAAGTTACCCACACAGAGAGGTACTCTCACCATTCCTGTGGAATGTAACCATAGACTCTGCTTTAACAGCTTGACTTCAAAAGGCATACACACAATATGTTATGAGAACGATGTAGCATTGATGATAAACAGCAAGTTTT